TTCTGTTTGAATATCTCTACAGTATGTAAAGTACAGTACGGTATGCTGGCAAGTCACACTGCTGTGAGTGTTCAGAGGCTGCAGCGGTGCACAGCTCACCATTACGCCTGTTACCATTTTGATCCCCTGTTTTTTTTTGGGGGGGGGGGGTTAATTAGTGTGTGAATTGTATTTTACGGCCAGAGTGCAACGCCCTCTAGTGCTGGTTGGAGGAAGTATGAGCATCTTCATATGGGTTTTGTCTGAAGAGGCATTAGTCACCACTAAATCCGTTATTCTGGCAAACGCCAGCTGTTCTCCACCAGCGCTTATAGATGTGCTGGTGGGCAATGGAGATACTGTTACTGTGCATGAACCCTGGATTAAGCTGGGAATTCCACACCCAGACTGACACCTACCTTTCAAAAATATGTGTGTAATGTGGCCACTGACTCGGGGGATACAGAGTGCACTGTCACTGACAGATAAATGGTGCCCCCCCCCCAAAAAAAAACCTAATTAGCAAGTGGGAAAAAGCAAGCAGAGACTGTGCAGGTAGTGTTTACCAGCGGTCTGGGTGGGACACCAAATTCTAGGACAAATATAGTATAATATGTGCAAGCTATCATTCCTAAATTGATTTTAAATTATAATTTTTGTTGATTACAAAGTGCTTTGGCAGTGAACTATATTAAAGGCTAATATATAAGAATGTATCAGTACTATAACATAATACTATGATTTTGTGAAATTGCCTTACGATAGTGTACCGTTTCAAACTGTGGTCAAATCATGTAGATGAAAAACCTCATCTTCAGATGCCAAAAAGAGTAAAGCTGTATAAAGCTGTTGTGCAGGGAATATACGTTTGATTTTTGAATCATACTACTATAAATTCAAATAATCGAGTTTTTCAATATTGTAAGAAAAACACTCTGAAAGTTTACGTGTAATGACAATTGTGTCCAGTAGATGTCGACAGAACCCGTATAATATCAGTTTAAAGTCGCTTATAAACGTGACTTACTTCTGTTACCCGTGTGGCAATTTCCGCTGTTGCAAACATTGAAGAAAAAAACACACTGTTAATTCAGATATTGTAGTAGGTGTCTAGACCAGAATTTCCTTCCTGACAAACAGGAGGTGGGGGGCTTGGGGGGATGGGGAGCTGTGCGTGGGGATGGACTGCAAGTTCAGAGGGGATTCGATGTTTAATGAAGGGCCCAGCACAGCCACATACAGATAAATACCCCCTCTTCCCCAGATTAACCATCAAAGACAAACCAAGACAGACAGAAATAGCTACGGCTTTATCAAGAGCGAGTATACAATGTAAACTTCATGACATGAACAGTACAGCTCTGACTAAGGTATATTTTTACATGTGAAAAGGGGAAGTCAAAATTTGCTCTGTGGCTACAGCTATGACTGAGGCACCAGCTCTGAGGAGCAAGTCATGACGGGTGTGAACACTTCAGAAGCTGATAGGATAAAAAAAATATATAAGTTAACAAGCGTCATCACAATTTTGATCTGGGCTCTTAGATTTTCTGAAGTTAGGCCTGCTGTTTCATCCATCCATCATCTTAGAGCTTGTACCAGGAGGCAGAGAGTTTGGGTACACCCTGTAGGGGATGCCAGTACAACCCTGGATACATGCAACAGATGCTGTGGGTAATTGAGTGGTACAGATTAGCCTAGCTGCATGTTTATACACTGTTGGAAAAACCTATATCACGCAAGAAGAACAAATTCCACCGACACAGGGCATGGATGGGATTTAAACCCGTGACCCTGGCAACGTGAAGCAGTGTCTTTATTTTCCACCACTCCATGTTGGTTCACACGCCCTTTAATAGAAGCCACTGTGTGAAACACCCCTTAAGAATATCACATTCTGTTTGTTTGTGTGTGTCCATCTGTATTTGTGGACATTTGGGCGTGAGCTCAGTATCTGAAAGTCCAATGTACTGTAACATATCCAGGAAGACTGTTATAAATAACTAATTACATGTTAAAGATATTTCTTCAGATATTTCACAAGTTTGTCATAAAGGACAGATCTGATTTTCTCCTTCTTTTGTGGTCAGACACAGACAGACAGACAGACAGGTGCAAACGCAGACTAGATAAATAGTCACACACATGTACCACCTTAGGCAACTCAGGTCTTTCCGGCTGCCTCTCCAAATACTAAAGAACTTCCAACATCTAAAGCATGCTGACGGGGGGCATCACCGATTTGGGATCAGCACACGGCAGGACTGCAGGGCTCTACAGAGCGTCGGACAGAAACTCCCAAACCTCCAGAACATTTACATCAGGTGATGCAGGTCCATGAATCCAAAGATGATCACAGCCTGGAAGAGGTGGAAATTTCAAGGCTAAAAAGTAAAAAATCCAGCCCATGATTTAGTTTCAACCAACCACTTGAGTACAAAGAATCACAGTCACAGAGTACTCAACTGGTTGGTTGAAACTAAATCTTGGCCTGGATTTGTACTCTCTGGACCTGAAATTTCCACCTCTGATTAGGACATGTGTAGTTTTACACATCTTAGATACTTATGATTATTATTTAATGTCAAATGTTTGTAGTATGTTATGTCTTGTCTCTGTCTTTTCTCACAGTCTGGCTCTGCAACCGTGCATTTCACTATATATTGTGATCAGTATCGTTGTGTATGTGACAAATAAAACTTTGACTTTGATCACTGTGACTGACACACACACACACACACACACAGAAGCTCCACAACTCACAATGACACACAGGCAAAAGAGCACCATTAGTCCATTAGTTAAAGTGTCTTCACGTTCATTAATGATTTAGTGAATAAATGTTGCTATATGCAGTGTGATCGGCAAATGAAACCCGCGGCGAGTCTGCTGCTAAGATTAAGTTTAGCTACTACATGTCGGTAAGACGCAGATGGGAGGAGCGGGCGGTGTGAGAACGGGAGCCGCAGCCAGGAGAGTCGGAGACAGAACATGTCGGATGCAGAGCTGATCCCACACACTGCATCTCCACACAGAGCTCACGCTCGCTGCTGCACCCACTCGCTGACGCGTCGGCACAGAGAAACGCTAACGGGTGCCCGTTTCGAAATGGCGTACTGCTCCAGGGGGGGCGACAGTGTGTGTGTGTGTGGTGGGGGGGGGGAGTGCGAAACTGGGGAGATGGCGAGAGGAGGCCGTCTCATTCAAATTCTCCCCTCATGCGGCTGCTATTGTATCTGCAGGCCTGGCAGCGCGTAAAAGCCACGGCACACGGAACAAAGACGCTATTCAGCGCACCAAGCAGCTTCCCCTACAGTCTATTCTGCCATCACAGGAATGGGCTGCTGGTACGTGCTATCTGACAGACACGGGACTCCACAGAACCCTCTCCCTCTCGCTCTCGCTCCTTTGCTCAGAGTGCTCGAGCTGGTCCATTTGTCTCCCTGCCCTCCCTGGACTCACTGCGCCCTCCTCGTGTTCCTCCCAATCCCACCTTGCCCTCCCCCCCCATCCTCCAGGGCCCACCGAGCCATACCGCATGCTGCTCACAGTCCCCCGAGGCTGTGCCCCCACCCACAGCTCTAGCAAGCCCCTCTCTGGTGGTACGATGCAGATCGGCAGGAACTGTAACAGAGCATTGTTTGTGATCTTGCCCTACAAGGGTCACTTCCTGTGTGACTCGGGTGTCTGTTCCAGCAAGTGTCCTCCCACTTCTCACCTTCTAGTCCCTGTCAAGATTACAAGTTGTCTCTCAGCTCTGGGTGCAATGATCCTTCTGATATATGGATTAAAAATGTAATTACATCCTTAATGGCTTTATTAACACTTTATACGGTCAGCCATACCCTGAAAGTTGTCTCTGTGAGAAAATACAGAATCTGATCTGTCAGAACTATTTAAAAGTATGACACATACAGAATCCAAGTAGTTGTCTCAAATGCATGTTAACTTTAATACTAATACTTTTAATATTAATCCGATTTAATTTTTTTTTTATCCTCAGTTAACTTGACTTTGCCATTGTTTCATAGAGAGAAGAATGTCCAGGTACCCGAATGGAGGAATGTCTTCCTGCTAGCGGAATCGCTCCAATAGGATCCCGGACACCATAAGGGGAAAATGATTCGCAAAGGGATACACTTTGTAAATTCACCTTTTCTGTGTAATATTTAATATTTGTTGTCCTTTTAAAGTGTATGTTAAGTACCTTAGTAATGGCAAATTGTCCGTTGTGTATTTAAAATATGTGATTAGTTCTTGACTGGTAGTTACTTTGATCAGCTTACTTCTGGCATATCTTAACCCTGCCTTAAACTACACATGGCTGACATTTAGCTTACACTCTTCTCCATTTTTTACTGATTTATTAATCTGGATATTGTACTAGAGCATTTCAGGTAAAGTAGTCTATGCAGGTGTATAATTAAGCACACAGTCATACGGTACCCAGCAACAAACACTGGCAGCGGAATGGGTGGTTGTAGAGAAGAGGTTAGCGACTTTCAGTTTGGTTCCATCAGAGGACACGATCTTTCCATCAAGTCAGTTTGCCACGTTTCTGCTAGAGCTGCCCATGTCAACTGCAAGTGACGTGATTAGGAAGCGGAAACCTTGGGCAGCAAGTTCAGATGCAAAGTGGAGGTCATACAAACTCATAGAAAGCAACCTGATCACCCATCAACACTCAACCTCAATGGCAAGCAAATCCCACCAGAAATGTTCCAACATCTAATGGAAAGCCATCCCAGAAGAGCAGAGGCTTCAGAAAGAGATGTTGGACAGGCTGGAGTCCCCATGCTTTTGGCCATATATTGTATCAAATATAAAGGTACCACAGTAGTGACCTTCCTCGGAACTGATCTTAACACCTTCACCTCATACACATCCTGCTTCCCCTCCTCTCCCAGCACTGGGTTGCCATGGTGCACATATTTGGACACGTATTCAGTTTATTTTTCTGTATATTTATCATAGGAAAATTTGCTTCCCAAATTATAGCATATGCTGCTGCGGATGCTTAAACGATGGTCCTGTTACATAGATACCTTGTATGCGAATATATTTTAACATACAGTGTGAGCTGGAAACCAGAACACTCACTGGGAAGCCATCCACACAAGAGCAGAAGGTCTGGACTCAGAACCCCCTTACTGGTGAGGCATGAAGCAAGCGCAAGCATGCCCCCGTAACGTGGGCAGATCAGGGGCATCAGTAAAAAATTTTTTTGCTTGACATTCCCCAAGAAAATAGCTCATCATTCTTTCAGGGCTCAGCACAGAGCCACAATGACCCCTTATGGGTGGGTGTCATATGTACTGCATACAGTGAGGCAGTGACGAAGAGATGCGTGTTGCCGTGCAGTGAGCTGCCGGTCCCCTTCGTGCCACACTCTTTCTCTGTCGCTCGCATCCAGTCATCGCCAAAGGTGACTAACGCGTGAGTCGGACTTCCTCCACTTCTTAATAATTCTCCACGCACCGTTCTTCTCAGTAACCAGTTTCTCCTGGCTCTGTCTCCTTCATCCACAGAAGCACAGGCTGCCTTCTCACGGCCGCTCTGCGGGCCCTCGGCTGGGCAGCATCCAGGGACGCTGGGCTCCCTCTGCTGATGGCTGCCGTTGACGCCTTGGCTCCCAAGAGCGCTTCCTGAGTGGCACTCCCGTCCGCCTGAGGTAACCCCAGGCAGGGAGGGGGGCATAGGCCAAAGTAGCTGTCCGTCAGGGGCTGATTAACTTCTCTGATGAGGCTGACATGGCTAGGATGCCCCAACTATCTTTGAGACTTGAGCTATCTTTTGGATCTGAGAGAGAAATGAGAGAAAATTAAAAACAATGATGTTGCCAGCAGTAAAACTTGTCATTTTTTTTCCCTTTTTTTGCCAGAACCCAGACTTAATGAGCTAAACCCATCCGTTGTTGCTGAGGGCCCTGATCTTTCCGGGGCCCTAGGCTGTAGCTTTACAATCATCTATGCATTAATCTGCTCCTGTTGCCCCTTACGGCTCATGTTTGTCTTCAGGGAACAGAGACTGACCTCTCAGTGAGCCCGCATATCAGAGGCCTTTCTCATGCCAGATGTGTCTAACAAGCACTGCAAACCACGTTTCCGCACAAAGGACTCTTCCCTGTGAGAAGGAATAAAGATTGAAATGCAAGCCAAAGGAGTCACGACCAAATAAACAGTGTTTCAAAACCACAGCATCCATAACATCCGCAGTGCTGTTTCCTTAAGGCACAGTGTCTCAGCAGCAGGACTGTAGGCAGGCAGACTGTGGTGTGTGACGTCATGACCATGAGCTTTAGTGAGTGGGATGTGACCACAGTTACACTGAGTCAATGCTCAGCCCTCCTGCAGAAAATACTGGAGCTATCTGCTGCTGGCCCACCTGCCCTCTGTGGTACCGCCTGGTGCCCAAAAGAAAGAAGGTCATGTGACCATGTGGTCATGTGAAGGTCATGTGACCCCATTCTTTGGTCCTGCCATTGAAGAGGGATACAAGAGTCCTTCTTAACGCTGTCTTCAATGTTTCCCACTGAAATCCCGTGCCTCACCCTGCAATATCCATCGCCCCGTCTCGCCCAATAACAAAATGTCAGAATGAAGAGGGATTTTTAGAGGAACATTTTGCAGATGGATCTCTTAGGCATAGACTAAGGTCTCTGAAGGTGGACGCTATGTGTTTAAGACCTGACTCCTAAAACATCCACCTCACCAGCAATATTCATAGTAACACTTTACAAACACTTAGTAATAACTCACTACTGAAATACAAATTCTGAACAAATCATGAAGAAATATAGGTACTTCTTGCAATAAAACATGCGTCACGATTCATTAATGATGAATAAACATGAGATCAGTATGTAACTAAGACTTTGTGGTTAATTAGTACATAATAGTATAATACTATATTTGTGCCCCGTCAAGTAAAGAGTTACCATATTCACTGTCTACACCAATTATTCAACAATCCTTGCCAATATTTATGCCTAGTAGATGTCAATGCTTGACTGCTGTGCAGTTTGTGTATAATTCACTGTATATTAGTGCTTAGTTATTGATGATACCGCAATGTGATTATTCAGTTAAGTTTGCAGAGGAGTGGAGTTTGGAAACTATCGATTCAGTGCAAGTTTACCGCTCTGTTCAGTAAGTGAAACCATACACAACATGCTAATTATTAATAACACGGACTGCCAGTGGCCTGCTGGAGACAGTGACATCACAAACCCCACACTCTTACATAACTGAACATATAATGACAATCTACACTGTTTTACCACGTGTTGCATGCAGGTGCTAAAAGCTGCAGGGATCAGACATGAACAGAGGAAGGAGGCATTATGACTTTAAATAGCACAGTGTTCTCGATGAGCCATAATGACTAGTGTAGAGGGTGACTCCTGTTTTCTGACTGGCCCGTGATTTATAGTGGCTAAGCAGTGGAGTCCTTTGGCCATGTCACTGGAATCCAGGACTAGCTGAACAGTTATTTAACACCTCAGCCGTATTCCTACGGACATAACACTCATTGGGAAACCAACCATTCCCCCTAGATGGGATTTGGCAGTTCTGGATTCCCACATTAATGAAGGCTTACTGTATGTGATGACTCCAAAGGCATGTTGATTTGCCATATTGCCTCAGTTAAAACTAATCCCCCATGGTTTCCCAGTTTAATTGTGCCAGGCACAAATTAATTTCAGCCCTGTTAAATTTTTGAGCTGATTTTAGCAATAATGAAATGTAATCTACTCTTCGTAAATATCCAGGGGTGTAAATGGATATTAAAGTATATAAAAAAACATGTGGCTTTAATTGGTTTTACTCCACCCTTTGCCTTTGGATGTTTGCATTTACTGTTACACTTATTGGCAACATGTTAGATGCTTTTAAAAAAATCTCACAAGCCAGTACAGCAATCAGTGCATTAAACTGCTGTTGGATATCAGAGAAGCGCATTGTCAAGTAGGTGTAGTAAATTCCACCAATTTATAGTATAGCGATACGTCAGGGATCATCTGACCCAACCAGTAACTGCTTATATTCTGTCAACAACAACAAAAACAGCAACACCAATAATAATAATAATAATAGACCTTAACTGTAATCTTACATGTTGCTTCTGAATAATATGTATGCGTAACTAATTAATAGCCTAATATTGTGTCTCACTTACAGTGCAGTCTGCCTCTTCTGACCCATCATGGCTGCCAGAGATGACTGTCTGTTCTTTCAGTTGTTGAAATTTGCTGAAAGGGAAGGCCGGACTGCACATATACCCACAGCTGCTCGCGTAGGTCCCATTCCACGACCCACGAAGGAAATGCTGTGAGACATCCATATTTGTGAGATGAGAAACTGTGACTTCCTGAACCTTTGAATCCTCTGAAGAATAAAAGCATGTCGCTGGGTAATGCGTTCATTACGTTTCTATTTGGTTTAAACAATACATGCTTTTTCTCTTCTTATGGGACATGATATTCTATGTTTAAAGTTTTTAAATGGTCACACAACTCAAAATATATTTAACTCATGCAGCAACAGTACATTTTGTGTTTAATTATTGCTTCATGTTATACAAAAGAGTTCCTTGATTGACAAGCCTACGTCAAGTCATTGTGAAACCTAAATCAAAATGGCCCCCGATTAAGCTTTTTTATATGGTGCACAGAGTTATTCATGGATTTCTCCTGCTCCTCTTACTCCAAATTCCCCGTAGTATTACAGCACAGGAAGGAGAGTGCAAATGACTCATACATCTGGTGAAAATATTACAGCCCCATCCATTCCTTCCCTATTAGTGCTTACTGCATGCCTTAGATACAGACAATAATTAGCCGTATCCTCTTTCTTTCTATTTAAGTTTGTCAAGATACTGATGCAGTTCTTTAACAGAACATGCTGCAGAATTTCCCAAGAACACTCATAATGCATTGGTGGGTAAAATATTTGACATGCAGAGGTCAGCTCTTAAAGACTGCCTGAATACTTTGAAAGTGGAGAGGATAAGTGGTTTAGGGATTCCTGACCCGGAAGGGACACCCCTGCATTCTTCCTACTTCTCAAAAAACAAACAGTTGATCACTGGCAGCAAAGCTGCTACATTCTCCTCAAAGAATGTGGATTTGAAAGCGCTGCGTGTTAAAGACACATTTGAGGTTCACCTTTGACCCTGCTGGTGAATACTGTTTCCTCTGTGGTGTTCTAACTGCTCTGAAAAGCTACCACACAAACTGTTGGGAACTTAGCTATATTTTTTATCAATTAGTTATGCATGTCAATGTAGGTTTTTGTAAGAGGTGGTGTTTGTGAGGACTGTTTAAATCAGTAACTGATTAGGATCCGATAACATTTCTTGCAAATAGTACTTAACCAAAGTGGCTAAAGGCTCATTTTAGCATCTAATGATTTCAGGCCTTCAAAGATCTTCAAAGCCTCAGAGGACCAAGGCTGGGAAACCAGAGAAATGAACTTTGCCAGCCTTTCAGAGACCCAAGCCATCTATATAGAAGTCTGAACATAGACACAAGGGCTTTTTATATCTGGGATCTCATTAGACTGCGGGTCAGCTGCCTCTCTTCCATTCTCCTGTGAGCATTGCTGACCTGTCATGAGCTGTACAAGTGGTTCCAGTTTGGTTGTACATGCTGGACACCTCCACACTCAACTGCCATTAAGTTCTCAACTACTAAACCATAGCTTCCAATGGGCCAGATTTACTAAGCAGGGCAAAAGGCTTGAGGGCACAATCAAAAAACAAAAGCATCGATGGCAGAGGCCAGATCTGCGGGTGATCTACTAAAAATGCAAAGAATTTATGAACACAGATACAGTCAGTTCATTTACATAATGACTGACTCAATCTAGCAAGGGTAATCAAATTAGCGCAGCGTAACAAGCACACCAGATGAGGGTGTGGGTAATCTCCTAACAACCCGGATGCAGCTTGTTATAATCTTAATCTTAATATGATCGTACCCGCATAGGTTTACTCTCGTGTCCCTCAGCAGCGCCTCCTAGTGGCAACTGTTGCAGCCATGTCAAGCCCAAAATAAGATACGCTTGTAATCTGCATTAAATAGTGCTGCAATGTGCAGTAAATTGTCTATGGCAAACCTCAGTAAATCACATTGCGTGGTTCCTTTAAATACCCTCCTCCCAAAAATGTTGCATTTTGAAAGGAAACTCCAACAAATGCATAAGCAATATGGCCAGTCACAAAATTAACTGTATCAACAGCTTTGCCAAAAGAGGATATGCACTGGTGCAAACTGTTAGTAAATCAGGCCCAACGTCAGCTAAACTACAATACTGTTTAATATTATAAAGTGGAAAACAGAACTTCATTTTACATGCCTGATATGAGCTCGACTTTGTAATGCAAAGAATAAATACAACCATTTTCATATTTTTCAAAAAATCTGTTTGCTTTCTATGATTTTGGGGCTAACAGCAAACTAGAAATAACGACTGAGTCCCAATCACTGCCTCGCTTTCACAGGAAATCCTACTTCCTCTTGAGCGGAATCCTGTAGGGCCCTGTCCAGGAGGAACTCACACAGCTTACCCAGAATTCTGCACGCTAAGGGCCTCAGAAAAACGCCTTGCATTCCATGCTGGACATTTTCCCAGGGAGGTCAGCCTGTGTTTAGTGCCTCATCACTGTCTCTTTAGAAACTGTAAGGAGCTCTTTTGATGTTTACAGGAGACACAAATGAGACCCGGTCAGCAACATCCTTTTTTGGATTTTGAGTCATATTCATACACACTGACCTTGAAAGAACTTTTGATATACAAGGGACGGACAAAATAACTGAAACAGATACTCTATACTAATCAGCTTTGTCTTAACGAGGAGTTGGGTCGCACTTTGCCTTGGGTAGACTTATAATATAACATGTATCATAATATTTTGTGGGTAAATAGCTGGTTGAGCAGTGGCAGTTGCAGATTCTTGGTTGTCTCTGAGCAGCTTCATTGTTGTAACCTCAAGTGAAGTGTAATATGCACCAGTGTAGATTGTCATGTCCTACTATGTAAGCTTTTCAAGTATCTTTGGGCAAAAGCATTTCCTGGGTGGCGATAACGATGGAATCCCCTAACGATGTATTAATAAGCAGGACCTCATAAGAAGCTGGGTTAGCCTCTGCCTTCAGAGCAGCGTCGATCCTTCTAGGAACACTGCCATAAAATAAATCTGTATAAAATGAGGTATCAGATTATTTCCATTACTTAGAGGGATAAAGGAGGTAGAAATCTGCTTTGCGATCTGGCTTCAGAATGACGAAAAAGCTTCAGTGTCAATTACATCAGGTTATTTGGAGAGGCAACGTAAGGCATTTGACTTCATCCTAGTGCTAATGAAAGCATTCCTGAATCTGGTTTGCAGTGTGTAGGATATGGGAACACTATGAGGGATGCCTAAGGTGCACCTGGGCCTATAGGATGAACTCAAATTCCTTGGCGATTATACAGAAATGCAGAAGAATCTCAGGACGTAATGACTCCCAGGAGATGGCTGCCCATACCATTACAGAACCCCTTGTCGTCAGCTGAATGCATCCTCTGGCGTTCTCCAAATGCTGGAAAAAGAGGCAAAAGATGACCATATTACTTTTTCCATCGCTTGGGGTTCTAGGTTTTGTATGCTAATTTCATTTCAAATAGCAGCCCTGCCATATAAAATGGAGTTTCTGGGTCACAGAGATGCTAACTCAGTTCACCAGGATATTTTAAGGTCATGGCTTCCTGTCATTGAGCTTTGAGTTCCTTTTTGCATCTTTTTGGACAAATGTACCTACAATTCTGGTCCCATCTAGCCTATTTTTTCATTCCGAAATCTCCCATACCAAGTGCTGATTGTCAGATGTCTTATACCTGACACATGCTGCTAATTAGCATTCAACCTAAAATGAATCATCTGTCAAATACTAAGAGCTATCTTTTCTTGTCCGCCATCTTGTTCACAGTTTATAAAGAGGAAATCCTTAATTGCCTGATTATTGACTTTTTTTCATTCCCTATAAAATGCTTTCAAAGTACTGCATCACTGAGCAGCATCCCTGAAATGAAACGTAGACTTGAGGGCACTGTATTCTGATATCTCTAGCATGAATGCATCACAGACAGGTGGACTTTCCAGACTCCCACCAGCAGAAACTGCTAAATTATACAATCACACTTTTCCCGCTGTGCTTCACGAGTCTGCATAAATCTGAACTTTAAAATGACTAAAGACTGAATATAACTGCAGGTAATCGACAATTTTATTGTGATGTGAACACGCTTGTGCAGATATAGGCTAATGGTAAATAAATGTCTAAACAGATACACCACGACTGATTCTTCCCTCCTAGTCGGGTGTCAATTATCAAGAGATATAATGTAGCTTGATCCAAACTCATACCATACTGTATGTACCTCAGACATAGTTTGCTCTGTCAGTATTATATATACGTACTGTTATCTTGGCACAATTTTACAAATCAGTTTGTTTTAGCAAAGTTATATATGTATAAATGTTGTCTGAAGACTGGTTAATTACTTCATCAATGGCCCTGTTTACACTAGGTTTTAAAATGTGTATTGGGTGATCGGATTACACGTGAGAAGCGCTTTCGTCATGTGTCAGCATGTGTCAGAGCTAAATACAAGTGTAAACGACCACCAAGACGCATTGTCATCTGATCACTCAAACCACTAGCGGAGGTGGTCGCTTTTGACCACATATAAACGCTAATGCGTCCTGATGCATCCCCGAGAAGGAATGTCTGTCCTTAAATCACTGCACTGGCTTCCACTGCATCACAGGATTAATTTAAAAATATTATTACTCTGTACAAAGCACTAAATGGTCTTGGGCCTAAATACATTTTTGATTTACTTGAGCTTTATGAAGCAACCAAACCCCTGAGGTTACCTGGGGCAGGTCTACTCAGTGTTCCCAGAATTAAGACCAAGCATACTTAAGTCAGGTTCTATGCTTCCTGAAGACCTGAGGTCTGCTAACATCTTTTTTAAAACTATTTATTTGTTTGTTTTAGCTTTAAGGCTTCTGTTGTATTATTGTACATGTAATTTTGATGTCTTCCATTTTAATGTGTCCTCTTGCCTCTGTAAAGCACTTTGAATTGCCTTGCATCTGAATTGTGGTATATAAATAAACTTTCCTTCCCATGCCCTTGTGCGGGGCAGTAACGTAATTCGAACACACGTGGTACCTTGGAGACACAGGTGTAAACGGCGACGTGTCTCGTCTGTCTACTTGTGATCCGATTGCCCGAGACGCTTCTTAAAACCGGGCGTAAACAGGGCAGCATACTAAGCAACAGGCACCGTAAAAAAAAATTCATGTTAATCATTATTATTAATAATAACTATTATTGTATTGTCTCTTAGTTAATTATAGATACACATTATATACGTGTAGCCTAAGTAATTTTATAAAGAATAATTATATATAGTGCATATATGCTACATAGCTAACAGGAAATTAGTGATTCACAGCAGCCATTCTAGTGGTTATTCTAAGCAAATCGCTTGCTTTTTAAAACTACCCTGTAGTCTTCGCGCCTGACTATGTGATTGTACAGTGTGGCTGCTGCGTTACACAAACAGATACATGGCAGTTTGAATTGCTCATTTACTTAACATGAGTATTAAATTATTGACCTTCGCTTTTGATCTTTGTTACAATCTTGTTATTCGTAGTAATTTCTTCATGTTCTTTTACCAAAGATGATAAGTTGGTAACTGAGTAGATTAAAACCTAAGTTCTGCTTGAATTAGATTTTTTTTTTTATTTATTATGAGATGTTGCAAGGGACCACCCTCCATAAAAATGTATTTGAAGCAGTTACTAACGTAACAATGGTAGTCTGCTACTCTGGATGATTTACCGTTTTACGGACCTGAAAACACTAACTAGTCAGATAAACAACTAAACTTTACTTTCTAATGTTGTTATCAGCAAGTATCTATGGGCTTCCCTTCTAATGATCTCATAATATGCGCAGTTTCTTCTAGGAATTGAAACAATACATCTGACAAACAGATCAAGGTCCCCCAGAGAATTTAAATAGGTCTAGGCATACAAACTTAAAGTTGCATATAGGAATATGATGTAATCCCACGTGTTACAGAGACGCTGCAATTACTCGCTCTGAATATCAGTCCCTCATAACCCCCCCGCTCCGGCCTGCTTTCCCACCGGACCAGAAACGCCGCTGTGTGGAAAAAACATCCCAAACGGACCCCGCTGCTAAAACCCTGCAGCTAAACTATGTAAATTGGATCCCCATGCAATACAGACCGAAACGTGCGTCCATGCAAATACAAGCCTTGCGTGCTCTCACACTAACTCCCTTTCTCTAAGTACCATCGCTGTGCTGAAACTTCTATTTTTTTGGGAAGTGCGGGGACTATTTTAAGGGGGTTGCTGGATCATAATGGTTATTATTTTTAACGCGGTGCGCCCGGGCGCACACGGTTCAGGCGAGCGCGCCGCGTTACGTAAAGCAGTGCACGTCCCTGGCTCGGCCGGACACATATGTGTCGCTTCTCGTGTTCTCTTTTTTCGGAAGCGTCGCGGAAGGATCCATCTCTGGAGTTGAGGTCAGCGCTTCCGCCCAGTTTTCCTATGTGCACCGCCGAGTTGAAAATGGAGTTCGGGGAAGGCTGCGATCTCACATCGGCTTATTAAGAAAAAAAACACAGGAAAAACAATCAAATACGCACGGCTCCGTGTCCTTTCCTTTTGATTTGGTTTCAGGACGGACTTACGCTTTTATGCGTTGGAGGTGGATATTTTATCAGAAGACTATACGCTGCAGCACTCCGCACTAGATAACGCCGTGTGCCCCCAGTTACCGAGGGAATTTGTTGCTCCGGATAAACGTGCCTGTATTTATGCTGTTTGCCTTTTTTTCTCCGCCTCTTTTATTTTCTTTGCGTTTTAAATAAAACATCGGCATTCGTCTGACTAGCTGATCGTGGCTTGGTGTGATTATAAGGATGATTATTTTGCGGTGGCTGGATTTTACTGCAGTCGAAGAAAGAACAACTCCATCTTGCTATTCTCACGAATAGATCACGGCTGTGTGTGTGATCAGCTGCAATGCATTTGCCATAGATCGTACAATTTCCCTTTTTATTTGATATAAACTATTGGTCCTGTGTTTTTTCCTCATTTTTTTTTAAAAAAATGGTGATGTTTGCGCGATTTTTCCCCGCTGTGGCTGCGTCGTTGGTGCGACTAGGATTGGGATCCCCGTGAGGAAAAATGAGCGAGGAATCGGTTAATCCAACCAACGAGTAAGTGTCTTCTAATATATTGCAAGGATGTCCGTCATCTCTGTCCTCTGATTTTTGTAGGTTTCAGTACTTGAAGCGCTCCATGCTGCATCTAAATGTTCACAACACTATCATTCTTGTATTACCAGCATTGACTTCTCCAGTGGTGTTTGGCTTCGTTTTCTGGGTAATTGCTTTACTGCTTCTAACATATATGAAATGCGGCCACACAAACCCCGACATTTGATGGCTACATCAGTGGCTAGCTACAGAGTTGGGAAATGAAAGCAATGGATTGCAAATAACGTTATAACCTATGTAGATGACTATATGTTTAGTTTTTTTTGTCTTTCGCTTCCAATGGTTAACCATTGAGAAGTAAAGAAATTAGAACGTCTTAAAATGTTGTTTAGGAATGTACGTAGTCATTTAAGGAAAAAATAAATTATTCTTGATACTTCTAATGTTATCGTTTTGACAGTCGTGAAAAATTCAGAGCATGATGTATGCAGATCTTGCTCAAAAAATGCATGGCAAAGAGAAGTATCTGACTTTCGATATTACGGTTTGATTGTAACTAGTTTATTAATTTTTGTTCTGTTTCCTTTTTCTGACCCCGGCTTCGGGTAACGTTAGCTACTGTTTTGTGTCAGATCTGAAACAAGCAAAGTATTAAGTTAAAATAGCCGTTGCGAGGTTATATGTCCTAATCAAGCAGACAGGGGTTGACTGCTGCAGTGTCAGTAACAAAAAAAAGACGCCATATTTTTCCTCAATCACACTTTTGCATACTTGAGGCGCCATTCATAAAAAGCGTGTAAGCGCTGTTAATGAACCTGTGGCTCGCGGCGGCGCGGACGCACTCGCGCCCGTCCGTCCCGGAACGCCCGGCTGTTCTCATGAAAACGGGCCGACGACCTTCGCGTGCGCCTGTTGACAGTCGGCGAGAAATATCAGCCAAGGGAGGTGCTGCCGTCACGTGACCCCCCATTCATAAAGTACCTGGCCGCCCATTCACAGCGCGCTGTCCGGCGCGGCGCGGCGCGGCGCCGCGCCTCCCGAGTCCGCGGCGATTAGCGCGTTATCGATCCGAGCTGAACGCGCTGGGCCCCCCTCAGACTCGGGCTGCGCGTCCACGTCGCACTATTTTATCTCGCGCTAAAGCAGTTTTGTTTTTATTTTAGATAGGCGTTACTGCTTAGTTTTAGGAGCAAATGTCCAAGTTGCGGTCGCGCTAAATGTAATAAGTTATAGTTTTATCACTGTTGCTGTAGGCCCTGTCCTTGGTATTATGTTGTAATAGCGGCATGTGATGAATTAAATTAGCGTAAAATGACACCCAGCATTTATACACAGAAATAGGCTGTTTTGTCGTGACCTTAAAGGATGCCGATATTTTTATTTTGTATTAATTTTCATATTTATATAAGCAGTGTGGCATTAAAAAGACCCATCCGAAAATCAGCCTTGAAAATGCCACGTTCGGTTGCTCTTCAGTCTCGCCTTAGCCTTCCACGGTTTCCCCCCACCGTTTTATAAATGACCTGAGCCGAAAACATCTTTTATGGGTTGTTATATCTATATCTTTTATTTTGGTATAGTTCAAAATATGACCTGTGACAGCAAGGGCTCGCAGTCACTTATACTACTCACTTATTTAAATCCCTTTTTTTTTATACAACGCCAACACATTCACCCTCTTTTATAAAATAGAGACTCTTTGGGTCTTCACCTTTCCGCAGGCTATTCAGTGTTCAGGTTCACAGAGGTTGCTTTTTGTAGATTTGTTTATCTCTTGACTGTGAAATAGTTCCTACCAGCTACTTAATTTGTGGCCTTTGAGTAGGAGAGGAAGTGTTTAAATATTTAATAGGCCCTTAGGTGTCCGAAGACAATGAGGGCGCCGTTTACAGTGATGGAAGGGGCGGGGAAGGCCAGGCCACATGTTATATGGCATGGGAGAGGCTACTCACAAACAGATGTTATTCCTCCAACCTCATTAACCTTGTGATGCATGCTTTGGAAATCTGTATAATCCAGTCATAAATGTTTTACGGCTGTTTTTAAAAAAAAAATAAAAAATATCCGGAAAGTCTGGGTATCTTAAAAGCACATGTTATAACATTGTGGGGAACAATTTGGACTGTGGACCTATGGGACGCACAGTGAAATTCTGACATTCTCTTCCTAAGTTTTGTATCACGGCTTGTAAACACTAGCATGCTGTAGGTGTGTGTAGAGATGAGGAATTTTTGAAACTTGAGCTTTGTTTTTTTTATTCAAAAGTATGTGTGCTAGTCTTAATCTGGGATGGTGTGAATCTGACCCCCCCCCCCCCCTTTCACGTTGCAGACAGTGTGATATCCATCAGTGTGCAACATTTTTGTCAACGGAATAATCCTGCGCTGCTTTTGCAAAGATATTTTTAACCTGTGATCACCCTGTCAGTTTACTCCAACCGTCAATCAGAAATGAGCTGTTCTTTCGGTTAAGCCTCTACTCGCCTTGGGACACTAAAGGTATTTCTAACCTACAGAATCCATGAGAGAATTTGCATGTTTTGCATTCAGTAGATGCTTCTAATAGGCTAAAGGGCCCATGTTTTTGTCATGACAAAGAAAAACACTTTTTTTTTTTTGTATATTCATAATAATTTCAGGCCGACCAGCTTATTGAAATCTTGCAGTTCCTGATCCCCTGAGTTTTGCTATCTGCATACTCATCTGCGCGCATTGTCCCATTTGTAAAATAAATAAATAACAAAACCGTTTAATTGTAATTTCATTACCAAGTCTCCAAGCCTCTTAAAGTGGAGCAGTTGTCAGTCATGTTTAGGGTGTCTGGCTTGTATAATATGCTCAGGTTCACATAGACAAGCATATGTCATTTGGTTGTAGTCTTGTGAAAAAACAGTGGCTTAAACAAAATTCTGTTAATATACAGTCGAGACAGCACCGCATTTCCTGTAGAATATGTAATCCCTACTCGGTTATTGCCAGGGGGAGGGCAAAATAACAAGCAGGCAGTCTGGGCAATAGTTCTTAGTATTTCACATAATAGCGATTCTTTAAGAAACTATTCAGC